CATTTTCATGTCCTTGTTTTTCAGAAAGTATCAGTGCACATCCTGTACGGAGAACTTTCACAGCGAAGAAGAAAGAGACATGCATTGCATACAGGAAGGACATACCCATGCTCATGGGGTTTGTTCATTGTTTCCCACGTCATATAATCATGTTATTTCAGTCATATAATCTTCTTTTCAGATGAAATTTTCACCATACTGTGAGCTTTACGTCAGCCTACTTCTGAAAGATGCTGAGTATGCAGCTTGTCATGGGATCGAAGCTGTTGTTGAACAGCGAACTAAAGCGAATTTGGCCATGCTTAGTCACAGGGTATGATCTTTTTTGCAAATGTTCTCAACAGTTCTGCACAGGTTATGAAAGGTGCCTGAGGGCGCGTCATACTTTTCTTCTTAATTCGGGCGAGTGGATCTCGCGATTGCGTGCGACCGCGCTCCACTGGTAATCATTGGACCAGTGTAAGGTCTTCTAAATTATGAAGGTATGACCAGATTAATGTGAATTTGCGCAGCATGAACGCGAAAGTTCAGCCGTTTTTGCCGTGAACTGTCAATGGTATTACGCTGCGGATAAAGGGGCGTGTCAGGCAGTAGGAGTGTGCCACGTTGGCGAACCCGTTCTCTGCCTGCTTTCAAAACGGGTATGTACAACAAGCGAGTGATACGAACGACATGATACAGCCTTATCACTTGCTCGCTTCAACAACTGGTGAAGAACGGGTTTGGCACCACGCCAAACTCATCCTGCATGACACGCCCCTTCGTTTGCAGAGAACTAGACTATGTGCGTTGGAACGTTATATGAGAAGGAAGGCTATATGTGTTGAAGTAGTATTAGTTAGGAATCACGTCTCTTGAGCTATTGTGATGGGACGCTCTTCTAGAAACACAAGGAAGACGCATTTCCATCAATTTCAAAACAGCTTTTAGCTTCCAGAATCTACTCATGAATCGTCGCCTTCTGAAACTTTTGAATTGTTCCGTTACAGTGATATTCCAATGAAAAAGTCATATTCAAGCGCATGCGAATGTGAAAGTCATGTCAAGATCCCTTCTGCTGAAGATAACAAAGAAAACAAGAAGAAAAAGGAGACAAAAGAAGCAATTCCCTCAAGGTTATCTCAATTCCGTTTTGTCAGCAGAACTGCAATGACAGTTTCGCAGTCCTACGTTTCTATGATAAACGTTCTACGTTCAGTAAATCGGTCGAAAAGGAGACACCGAAGACCGAAAAAGATGATGAACAGAACAGTGGCGCTCCTCCAGGACGTGATCAACTTCGTGCAAGGTTTTTTTTCTTTTGTTCTGCTTGCATTTCCTAGAAATGTAAAAGGAATCTTTTTTGCTTGCTCGATCTGCGGCTTAACAAAAAGGAAGTTGGTCTTTTCGGTTAGAGGGTACCTGATCAAAAAACAAGCTGAATTTCCTGGTGTAGACATCTGTGAAGCATTATACACTGTATGACCGTGCGCTAAGCGTACCTCAGCGTGGCTGTGGCGGGCGTAGTTGGGGAACTTGACATGTTTCGCAGATACGCGAGGATGAGAATTTTATTTTTTGAATTTATCTAGCATCATCATGCGTTTTATTTTTCTATTATTTATATTTTTTCATCATTATTAGTCTCTATATATTATTTCAACGCAAGCGTTTTCATTTATATTTATCTATATATATTGTTTATATCTTATATTATTCCTCTTAATTGTATATACCTCTTCTGTTTTAATTTTTATCTCTGTTTTTATATTTTTTATGTCGATTTTTCTTCTCTTAGCTCTCTTAATATTTAATTTGGATTTTCTATTCTATGGATCGTGACCACTATTACTCTATATTAAGTACTATTTGGGGCGATGGAGGCATACACCAGACCGTAGCTGACTCTGGCCTCTAACGCCGACGTTTGCTGAAAAATCGCTAGTGTGTTGTAGAGGTGGCGAGACAACGGCAACATAACCAGACTCGATGCGCCATCGGTCTGTCGTGTTTGTCTAAGATCGTTCTGCATTCTTTGCACAAGGCTGCCTAGAACATGTTCCAGCTCAAAAAAAACAGTGAGTAGACGGTGTTCCCCCTGTCGGGAGTGAGGGCGAATGAGGTCGTTTCCTATATGCTGCTTGTACGCCACAATCTTTCTGGCTGTTGCTCGAATTCTGTCTCGCAGTCGCGCTTTTCAGATGCTCAATGATCTACCAATGATATTTCCAGACTGCCTTTTGATTTACGTTCTTCTTTTCAGAAACACGGTATCAGAAGAGAAAGGAGAGAAATCACGGTATCCAACGAGAAGCCATTCTGAACCTACTGGTGAGCTGCTACGTCTTGAATTTCAGCTATTCTGCGCAGTTGAGAATGTATATTCCTCCTAAAGTCGTTTACAATCGGACATCACTGCTTTTGACAACTCCCATTTTTTCCTTTCGTACTAGGGGGGTGGGTTGGACACGTGAGGAATTTGAGTAAGTCCCGTGGGTCCCTTATCTTTGCTTACTGTAGCGTAGCATTTTATGGGTAAAACATCATGAGTATCCACTGCGCATTGAACACTTCTGCTCAAACTGTTTCCAGTTCTACCGTACTGTTAAAACTCAGGGTTACATAGTCACTGTTATCGACCCGATTAGCTGTATTGCGACCAGCTCCTGTCAACCTTACCGAGGTCTGCTGACAGAGAAAGGCAATCCATTTACATCTTTGCACTTGTAAATCTATGACCGCGGTTGACAGAGGCTTGTTTGGTTTCCGAACGGCCAATGCGTCCTGTCAATCGTCTGTCCCAAGTAGGCGTATAGGCGGAGCAGAATAGCCTTTTTTCCTCTACTACTGTATAACCTCCTACGGGATGGTTATCTTGCTGCCTCATTAACCATTACAACGAAATACACTTTCACTTTCGCTTCCGCTCTAATCGAGCTAATATGGATAATTCACTGTTCAGATGCTAACTCTAAGGCAGATATGTCAGGAGAGGGCGATTGAGTTAGCAATGGTTCGTTTGCATAAACCAAAGGTTTGGGTCTCACTTTCCCTTTACTATATCCTTAGCTGACACATAAGCGCCAGTTGACAGCAGCTGTAGTGTAAAATCAAGAGCAGAACCACTTTCTCCACTGTGTTTAAATGTTGGCTCAATTGCGACAAGATGCAATACCCAATCCACAACAAAAAATGGTAAAAGGTGAGAATCTCTAAAAGTTCAACCGAATGGATCTCGTTAAATGTGTGTTAGTGGATAGGGAGATGCTCAAAGACAGCCCGCGATAAAAGTGCCATGGATAGTTGCTTTTCAATTACGAAACAGTAGCTGAGTGACTTTCCAAAGAAGAGAAAAAGCAAGAAGAGTTCTCAAGAACAACCATAAACAGATCGCTCCCTGTTCAGTCTATACAGCCTGACGGTCAATTGTGCCAACCCTGTCCTTAAATCCTTTTTCGCATCACCGAGTAATTGCATACATCCGATGCAAAAAAAAGAATACGGAAAACAAAAAAACACATGAAGAAAAAACTCTTGAAACAGGAAAACTTCGGCCTCCGGATCAAAGGGTACTACGCGTAGGTGCACTCCTATTTAGTGTGTTTTAGGGCGTCGAGCCGTTTTCCACTCACGCAAGAAATTTGAATCGCTCGTAATTTTTACGCGTGTTTTACCTTGCGAGATGGGATGAAGTTGACTGTATGTGCTGCGAATAAAATGTAATAAAGGAAAGCAGAATTATTCATGGGCACGAGCGTGGTCAGCGAAAAGGACATGAATGCCGATTAATGCCCGCCGCCCCAACAAAGAACAACTGAGCGGCCCTCCGTCGGAGGGCATCTAGCAAGTGAGGCGGTCCAACTGAGCGGGCGTTAGAACTAGAACTTTGAGGGGCTGTAGCTTGCTCCTCGCTCGTTGTGGAGTCGCGAGAGTGGGACAGTTTCTAGCTTGGGGGCTGTACTACTTGCACAAGGAAGGATGACCATGTACTACTTGAGCGCGGGGCTGTCTTTGAGCTTATTCAGCGTCGGATCGAAAAAAGACTCACTGAGCATTGGAGTATAATTGTGGTTCTTTACATCTGCTCTTGGAATTTCACCAGGAATCAGAACGGGATCTCGAAGGAACATATCAACATGATTTTCAGGCTGGAGGAGCATCTGAGTGCACCCAGGACAACTCAGAAATGGTAAGTTAAGCTCAAAAGGTTGCTCAGCCGATATGTCAGAGACTTGATCAGTGATCATATCCTCATTTCTTGGAGGGGTCAAGGAACCTCAGAACCTTCAATGTGGCTTCAATTTGCCTCTGGAATATTGGTCAAAACGCTGACATCCATCGTTTGGAGCTTGCTCAAGTGAGTAGAGAATAGTTTGTTCCCAACCCGATGTCTTGTTGTCATATTAAAAGTGGTATGAAACCTCACAAACAGGGACTACCCAGAAATCTTGGTGATGTACGACTTTAGGTGCCTGTATAACATGATATTCTATCGTCGGTCTTAGCATGTCTGCTCGAAGCGGGCTGTCGTGAATACAACCTATACATAGCAAAAACATTGACGGTTTTCGTTACGTCTTCAGTGCTTTTTCGACTCCTTCGCGAAACCACTTGTATGGGAAACTCCACCTTAGTTACTCTTTGATCTCGAGAGTAGATTTAGTCTTGAAGTTCTTCCATTCATTCTAACGAGACAACTCCCTGTTATAAATTATTTGAATCGTAGCTTTACCCACGAAATACGATGATTGCTTGCCAGGCTCTTTGCGCTCGTTTACTTATTGGTGGTCCTAATATGGTCAGCACAAACGATCTGGTCATTCGTCAAGGTCAGTTAAGCTGACTTGTAATCCAGCGTATGGCAATTGGGTAACAAAGAGAGTTCCTTGGAACCTTGGAAAAATCTATCAATTTTCTGCTCAAAATTTAATTTTCTTCTATCATTTCCCACATAGAAGGAAATCAGTTGCTCCTCAAGCGGACATAACCATTGACGTAGAAGCAGATCGATATGTATAGTATTCTTTTCGTCAATCCTTCAATTCGTCATTTGTTCATCGCAAGCTATGAGCGCGTCCTAATACATAACGGTCCCCTTGACTTGTGCAAGACAAACTCGCTGTTCTCTAGACAGGTTTGGTGTCAATGTTTTCAGATTGTCATTTGATCATCGTTAAGACTATTCTAGATTTCTGTTGTACATTTGTAAGTTCACTCAATTGAACCATCCATGTCTTTTCACAATCAGGCATTGTTCACAGTTTGCGACCCTGACAAATCGAAGTTTGGCGAAAAGCAGTAAATACGTATCGATCGGAGAGTTGCCAGCCACTCTGGCGAAACGCTGGTGCAGTTCTGCGTTTTGGCGAAAAGGGGTAGATGCGTAACGATTTCGCTGACTCCGCCCAAGAGAAAAAACAGCGGACAGCGCTAGCGTTTCGCATTACGCACATACGCATCAAAATTTTTTTCGGGAAAGCATTTCTTTCGCCGATTCCGCTGTTCGCAGACTGTGAACAATGGCTCATCCTTTTATTTTGAAAACAGTTGTGCATATAAAAGTATGTGTCAACCTCATATTTTGCACATGCTTATGTAGTACATAAACACGTATGAAGATAATAACTTTTGACTCTGTGTGTTGTGTTATTGTTTGGTTGTTCTCCAACTTTACATTCACATGCATTTATATTTACATTATTTCATTTAATTTTATTATTTTGCATTCTCACATAATCTGGAGGTATGAAGAAAACTTTTTGTCTCTATGTAGTTTGTGAGGTTTAGGAACTATGAAGTATTTGTGAAAGTTGCTGTTATGTTGTTTTCTCGTCGGCACACGGAGTTTGTTTAGAATATTGCATGACACACTTCAGCGCGGCTTAATTAGAACAGATAAATTGAGCTGACGGTACTGACCTTCAGAAGAACTTGCCCTTCTTGTTATCCGTTCCTTAACCGCTGCATGCTTCGAAAAATTTATTATAGGCGCTTATCAATTAGAAAAGAACAAGAAAGAAAGTGATACGAGATTTTTTGTTTGAAACAGCCACAGTTTCTTATTTGGTAAGGGTGGAAATTTTTCTCGCGAGACACGCCGAGTTACAAAAGTGGGACGGTCGTCTGCGTTGATCACCTTGCTCTAGACGAAACACTTGAACGCCTCCCGTTCAGGGCACAGCATTCGATGGGGATTTTGGTCGAGCTTTTACGACCCCCCCCTTTTTTCAGGGGCTGGTACGACCCCCCCCATGGCTCCTACGATGGCTGACATCCTAGCCAGAAATACGACCCCCCTCTCCCCACAACGACCAAATTACGACCCCCCCCTCCGAAACGTACGCAAGGAGAGAAAAATCAACTATAAAAATAAATTTTTCCCAGTCCAAATACGACCCCCCTTTTGACGGCCAAATACGACCCCCCATAGGGAATCCCCAAACCACATGCTGCTGACCCTTTCTGCCGCGAGCGTTTTTGCAAGCAATCCCGTTTCTCCTGCGTCTTCGCAGAGCGCCGGAGTGTATTTGGCGCTGCACATACAACAAAAGGGGAGTCTTTTGTGCCGAACATGCCACGATTATACTCATTCCGATTACTTTTGCGCTCATTTCTACATTGTGCAATATGAATGATGACTTCTTTCAGTTGCATAGATGAATCTGGACAAAGTAGAAGATCTAAATGTCAGTTTTGACGACATAAGTATTGTTACCATAATCAATTGAACACTATCAAATGTATTGTAAATTAACACTTATTATCACTAGAAGTCTTCGTACCATTGAAGTGATGCGGAGCTATCATAAGAAGTGCAATTGCCGATCGCGCGCCACTGACTGTTATTTTGTAATATTAATGAATTACTTCAATGAGCAGCTTATTTCGCGCCATCAAGATGTAAGCATAAGCGAAGCTCACTGAACATACACTCGGTGAGAATAGTTCAAGTTGCACTCATACCCAAGAAGAAACCGACCCACAAACGTGAGTTGTGGGCAACACACAAACGCGAGAAACGAGGAGTATGGGCGTTATTTCGCTGGAACTTTCACCACGGCGCTTCATGTGTCTACAAACAGTTCCCATTACAAGTAGTCATGGATCATGTCGCACTTCCGTTATGAACAGTTAATGATAAGTAATTCCAAAGAGAGGAAAACGCAAGAAGAATATCAAGAACACCAAAAACAAACGCTTTCCTGACAGCTCACCCCCTGCCCCTAATTTGCGGTCATGCTATGCAACGCATTGAAACACATGCGCACGCATTTAGGATTAACGGTTGCGCTGCATATTTTAGGTGCAGGGCGAGATTTCTGCAGCCGAACAATCGTGATCACGCGGTGATGCTGACGGTTATTACCTTGCGAGTGGCTTGCAGTGGACGTATGTGCTCCTAATGATACAGATATAATAACGTAGCAGCGAGAATTATTATGCGGGAAGCGCGGTCAGCAAAAATGAACAGGAGCCGGTCCAGCACTTTACATTCCGTCGGAGCCTGAGGCGGAATCATATAGAACTGGAATTTCGCGCGGCATGGTAGCACCATCATCGCTCGTGTGGAGTCGCAAAGTGGACATAGCACCATCATCGCTCGTTGTGGGATCCGCGAACGATTGGGACAGTCTCTCTTTAGGCTAAGGGAGCTGTGCTGAGCAAGAAGGGGGTATGAATTACTTCGCAGCGCGTGCGGGCCTGTCTCTTTAATAGCAAGGCGTCCTCGCGTCGATAAACAAAGTGAAAACGCCTCCATGAAAAACAGAACGCGGAGTTGCAATCACAGCAGAAATCCACTCTTTGCGGGCTCGCGAAATCGATTGGTTGACGAGGGCGGAGTCAACAGAGCCGGAGCTGACGCCTCCTGTCCTGTTAATCCCGCCCCGACTGGTTGACAGTTATCAATGCTTGCTGGCATTGATATACGCTGAAAATTTCATAGCGAGTTCCGAGGCGGCGACGCGTATTGGAGAACTCACCAGAAGTTTGCGAAACTCGTCCACATGTCTTAAATTTCATAGGGTCTTATTTCACGCTCTTCCACAACTTTTTCCTGCTTTTTTTGATTAGTGCTTCATTGGCCATCTGTTCTAGCAAATGTGACCCCTGAAACCTGCCCAACAGTCACAACATCGCCGGGCGCTGTCTTTAAAGGCACTAGTATCGCGACCGCCAAATTGCCGGCGGAAACGCAAACTCTCTAAATAGGCCTTAAAAAGCGCTAAAGTTACTCTCTGATTACGCGCACAAGAAAAGCAGCCAGAAAAAGCGCAAGTCGATATGTTATAGAGAAAGATAGCATAGTGGCTACTAGCTAGTAGCTAGCAGCCGGTGAGGGTCGGCATGGGCCTAAGGGGTGTCCATGGGCCTAATTAGTCAGCTTCTAGCGGAGTTCTTGCCGTTTTTCACACTTTGAAAGTAGCGCAGCCTCAAAAATCGCCTTCCGGATCGTCCGACACATTTGAGAGGTCATAGCCTTATTTTATCGCTCTCCTCTCTTGACCTCGTACGGTACCTCAGTTTGAGCTGATGTTCCTAGCTCGACAGCGATCAATGTAGTTAGAATAGTGCGCCATCGAAGTCGCGCCGATACGCGGCGGACCGAAGCGCTGCCGTCGCCCAGAACGACATCTTAAAGACAGCCCCCGCGATCAAAGTGGCTCGTGGTCGCCTTTGCTGTGCAAGTAGTCTAGCCTCCAAGCTAGAAGACTGTTCACCTTTCGACTCTATTGTGAGCGTGAAGGCGCTATTAGGCCGCTCTCAAAGTGCTAGTTCTAACTCCTCCTCAGTCGGACCGCCTTTACTTGCTAGATGTCCTCCGACGGAGGCCACTCACTTGTTCTTAGTTGGAGCGGCGAGCATTGCTAATGCCCTGGATAATTCTGCTCTCCTTCATTACAGTTCACTCATTGGAGGTATATACATTCAATTCAACCCATTTTGCCGAGGTGAAACGCGTAAAAAACACGAGTGACGCAATTTTCGTGATGCAAAACCACGACGCACAAAAGGCGCGTTTACCGTAATCACAAATTCAGACACCGTGTTGATAAAATTTCCTTTTTCCTTCCCAGAGTTTTTCTTTCACTCTGCTTTTTTGCTCGCTTACTTTTTTTTGTTATTCTTTCCTTTTTGCCTAGATCGCGGTAGTTCATCACTTCGTGCGCGAGAGTGTGATCAGAAGAGATAGTTGTGAGCTAAGCTTGGGGTCGCATAGTAGGGAGTGTACTGTGAGGGAGCGAAATTGTCTTCGTTTATGTGATCACGGCCACTTTCCGCTGTTTTGAGCGGAGAACGCTTCATGTACGTCGGTTTTTTCTCTTCTTGGGAGATTAATTTCGAGCGTGCTGTTTCATAATTCAGCGAAAGTGCCTATCAGTGAGACTATTTGATCGGTGAGCTGATCTTTAAGCACATGCCCTCTGTCGCTCGGACGAAAAGTGTCACGGTATAGCTCTGTTTGCTTTGCCAATTATGATGATATCGTAGCTTGTGACAATATAGTAGATAAGTATCATACCCGAAGTAAGGGAGAAAAAAGCAAGAGGAGTCCTCAAGAACAACTTACCAAACAAAGCGCTCCCTGTGTAGATCACAACCTTCCTGGATTCGGACGGGTCGCGTCTCTGCTGCAGACATCACCTGCGCTCGACAATTTCACTTTATGCACCATCTCCCAGCCTGTGTCTCGCGTCTGGTAACAGGGTATCATCCAATGCAATGGAAAAGGATATAAAAAACAAGTCAAAACCACGAAGGAAAACTCTTTCGTGACAAGGAATAAAAAAGAACTATTTAAAAACTAGAGCGTTCCTGATTTAGGGTATAACGGTAGCGGCGATTGCATCTTTTATTCTGCTAGGTATGTATACGTTCGAGCTCTTTATGACCGACGAAGTTGGGGTCCTTGTTGTGATTTACGCAGTTTACTGTCAAGATGAAGGCTGGATGCTCAGTTGACGTATGTGGACAACCTTAACGAGATAAAAGGTAATAACGGAGAGAACCATTCTGGTTACGAGTCGCCGGTCAGCAAAAATCTGGGCTACTGCCGGCTCTCATTGGATTACGAGCCCTGTCCCCGCCCAGAAAAGAACAACTGAGGACTACTCCGTCAGGAGGGCATCTAGCAAGTGGGCGGTCCTACTGAGCAGGCGTTAGAACTAGAACTTTCAACAGCTGTAGCTCGCTCCTCGCTCGCTATGGAGTCGCGAGTGTGGGATAGTCTCTAGCTTGGGGCACGGAACTTGAGAATGATCTTGGGGGCTCAAGGCTGAACAGGTGGAAATGAGCTGCATTGAGGGAATCGTGAGGTGTAGTTGGACTGCACTGATACGAGCTTGAGGTCGTCATTGAAAATTCGGTTTTCGGCTTCATTTGGGATGCTGACGCCGTCTTTGGACAAGTTGGCCCTGGCCGCAAGGCAGGTGGTATATCGCTTTCACGGTTCAAAAATACGTAAGAACGACGACACTCAGGCGTGACGAGGACCATTCCCCGCCCACTGCTCCATACCACACCCAACTTTAATTTCCAAAAGCTTCACGGTGTTGTGAATGTTCAGCTACTAATTCTTTTCGTTCTGAATGGTGAAGGTGAGATGGCAAGGGTAAAAGAGGGAGAGGGTCGGGCAAGCGGTCGCGCGTTTTCTGAAGCATAGTTTATCCAATCCAAGACGTGGCAAATACGGGTCACGTGTTAAGCATTCGCTCCAAAGCCATGAGTAGTAGTGGGTATATGACAAGAGAATCGTAATTTGCCGCCATGGCAGGCGTTACGAGCGGCAGCGCCGCGAGAGGCGAGTTCCTCTGCACAGCCCATTGAATTCGAATACTGAAGGGACGGGGAAGTGGGTTACTTCTAAGGATCCCGAACTGTTTTGATGCTCCATATCGTCAGCCGTGACAGCAATAGACGATGTCAAAAACGGGTAAAAACTTGTGAAAAATGAGCGGAAATATGGAAAAAATGGAAGAATGCAAAAGTTTCGTCGGGTTTCGACCCCCTCCCCCCAATCAAGGAAGTGATGCATATTTTCAATTTTCCACGGAAATCGCCGCGTAAGCTCACACTGAAAATTTCCCGCGCCCACCGCCAAATCGAGCCCGCGCGCGAAGGCGCGGCAAATTCGATTCTCTTGTCCGTCTCCCCAACTGGTGACATTGGCGTGACAATGCTGCAAGACGTCAGTCGACCAGCTAGAAAAACTCTGCGAGGTTGCGCATGATGTCACACCTAATACGACCTACACCAGTACCTTTCAGTGTGTGCATAGCCTGTCATCACTAAAAGACTTCGCATTCATACATTGTTAAGCTGGGTACCATCCGCCACAACAATGTGGATGCAGGCGTAGTGAGAAGCGCCGCTGCTACTACATCGTACATCCTTTTCGCATGCAGCGTAGGCCACTTCGACTCTGACGATCAGTCTTAGACAACATACTCATACGCATGACCAGACACAAACCCATTTAGTCACAGCGATGCAGCAAGCAGCGATATCTGCCGAACCGAGTTTTGTAAAGGGGTGCAACATTCCGCCTCTTCGCCAACCGAACAACCCCTATGATCGACCCGTTCTGCCCCACAGCCATCGAACCAAGTTATCGATGCCCCTACACCGCACCGACTATCTATATACTGACCTTGAGACGGTTTAGATCGCAACAACCTAATCATAACAAAGTTGTTCACGATAGTGAGTATAAAACAATGTTGTGATAGTGATAGAGGCTATGAAGCTACGTAAACGCTCCTACAACGTCCACCTCATAGAACAAAACTGCTGATCTTCGTGCAACAAGCATATAAGAACGTAATACTCACGAGGAATGCACGAAATTAACAATACTAAAACTTTCAAAACCTACCCACGTGCGAAATGTTGCACAGCGACCGTGGAACTCCAGACCGAACTACGAATTGCCTAACACTCGGCGAAGAATACGTACCCACATTCAAATCTGATTTCCCACATTCTCAGTTCTCAAACAGCTCTCAGATTCGAGTCATCGCTCGTATTTGATTCATAGGCACCTTCTCAATCTTGCTCTGATTCTAGCGTCTAATGCCACAACACCGGTCTCCACCACCCTTGACGGTTCCTTAGTTTTTTCCCGCAAGCATAAAGAACATTGTAATATATACTATTATCAATTGGTATAGGAAAATTCGAGATAAGATCACCACTCCTTCGCATTATTTTCCTACGAGTAGAGAAAACAGATGTTTGCCTGCCCTTTAGCAAACGATCGTTTCGGCATGTGCGAACGCGCTCCAACGAGCCGTGGACTAATTCCACGCGACACAGCCATTGCTAAGGATACGGATTATTCCAATAAAGATACTAAACACCCCGGATCAGTAGGTATCACGTTTTATCACAGGATTTGCTGATTCTCTGTTTGAGCGTAATCGATAAAAAAATCGATTCTTACCTGTTCCTCTCCGGAGATAGCCTGGCTCACCGCGGATAACGGGTCACGTCCGCGTGGTGCCTACGGGCTTTTTCTAACAGATCCTCTGTATCAGCCGTTTTTCACTAGTTGTTGTCAATTACTTGCTGAATGCAACGTAAGAGAGCGGATATGGCCGCGTGCCAAATGCACCCTTGCGACGCCCCGTCATCCACAGCGAACCAGACTGTGATCAATTAATACAATGTACGCGATTCAGATGAAAACTGAATAATAAAAATACCCACCGGTGATGAAACAGGCTTCTTTGGGTCGCCAGCCTCTTACTTCTGATTGAACCACTTGGCACTGCACTTATTTTTTTGCACTATAAATTCGTCTCTTTTGAATAACTACTCGGAATTCTTTAATTTTTGTTCAATTTCAAGCGGGCCCAAAAAATTATTCTGTCAACGAACAGAACAATCAGTAAGAAAAAAAACAACAATTTTGAGATCTTTATTGATTTCTCTAAAATGGTGATGCTTCATGTTGAGCAGGAACACTGATGTAGCTTTGGCTATCGATACCGGTCATTTACAGCTGTATGATGGAGTAGTAACCCCAGTAGAAAATACTGAAATGGGGAAACGATCATTATAGTCTCTCGTATTTTCTCTTCCAATACTTCTTCACTTACTTGAAAATCACAAAACAAATAGGAAAGACGGTCCGCGAGTACTTGTCGATGACGTTCACGTCTCGGACCCGAATACGAGGCAACGCTTTGCGAGCTCGCACACCCATCCGATGCAACGACATCGTCATACTTTGCGCTCTCAACCTTGTCGTTCGTAGCCGTCGTGCGGTCCTGTAAGTACAGCGAATAGCTCCTCAAAATTACTTTATGTATTTGATAGTACATATAAAGGATAAAGGTCTTCGCCGTTGATCAATCCCTGGGATGCGGCACGCATTCTACTTCCATTCAGAATCGTAGTGGCTTATTGAATGCGATGTGGCCTATACAATGACTTGCGGTGGCCAGCCGATGTACAAGTCAGTGTTTTATCCTCCCAGACGAATCTGGTACCAATTCACCGTCCCCGGAGGGTAGAAGGCTTGGTTGGCCTGGGCGGGTGGCCGAGATTTGGACCCGGCACCGCGGGAGTGGTAAGCGCGTTGGTAGAACATATAAAGGAAGAAAGGATGCGGCAAGATGCATGACGAAGAAGGAATGGATTGATCTAATGAGGTGCCACATATTGTAAAATATTGACATGGCAAATAAATAAATAAAATAAAATAAAGGATGAAAGAGGGTAAAATCTTTGCCGTCGATCAATCCCTTTTGAGATGTGGTACGCATACGAACCTATACAACGGCTTGCAGCGAGGGGGAGGGGGAAGCACAGATGCTTTCTTATCCTCCTAGACGACGAATTCGCCTCTAGTTACTTCCCCGGAAGAAAGATGCTTGGTTTGGAGCGATCCGCCGGCATTTTGATCCACGGACACGCCGCTATGGGGAGCATGTCACTTGACACTATACCACCACCTCCTCACATAGGACACCTAGTAAAACGAAATGATGAAGGTGGATGTAGCTCACGGGGGCGGAGCTAGCTTATCGTCGCTTGACCGTGACGATTTTATCAAGCACTTTCGAGTCAATCGGGACCCGCTCTGCGTCGGCCCTCGTGAGCAGAACTTCTAAACGTACAACTTTCATTATTTCACCAGAGAAACTTGCCTTGCTGATAAAGACGGCCTGGCTCTCATACCCTGAACGGTTGAGGCATATCGTGGATATTCTGGTGAGTCATCTTCGTCAATACCATTTGGTCCAGAAGGGCAAAGAGACGGTATCGGACTTGACTGGCGCTTTTTCCTCGAAGCTGAGGAAAGAGACTCGGGAGCAGTTGCAGCCAAAGCGGTCGAGTTCAGATCGTGAGTTCGAGGGTTCAGAAGTTGGATTGCCTTAAGCTGGAAATTGCACAATCAAAGAGTTGTACTGGAGTACCGAAACAGTAAGGTAACGAACGTCAATGAGACTGCTTGGTACACCCCACTCCTTGATGTTGACAGCACTTTCACGGTCGTCCTTATTGGAATTGCATACTGGCCATCTAAACAATATTTATTAACTATTTACACCTAACGTTGCAAATATAAGTAAAAGATATGATCTTCTGGAAAATCCATACCCTTCCTCGCCACCTCCTCGAGATCTCCGACCCCAGTACGAATAGTTCACAGCCGCATATTCAAGTAAAGCAGCAAAGACGAACACAAAACAAACATCACCTAAGTCAATGATAACTATTCAATCGAAATCTTACGTTTCCGGTTGTTAATCAAAATTTAATCCGGTGACAAGACATAGAGCGCCACAGAGCGAGCGGTCACGTTTCGCGCACATTGTTGCGCATAACGTAAGCAAGGTTTGCGATTGTTTGGGCATTTGCCCTCTATCACAGTATCTTATTCAAGGTGAAAAAGACTAGCTAGCCAGCTTTCACATACGCAATCCTTTTGGCACCAGCACGACTCAAACCAGTCGACCAACCAGCGCCGACCACCAGGTGGCTCGCTATTACCTTATCCCGTGCCCCCCCCTTCCCAGGACAAAGTTCAATTGGGCGTGACGGAGATTGCGCTGTCAAAAACAATAGAAAGTATGGCTCACCTTTCGAGGAGTCCCGTCAGCTGGCCATGCGAGGGGCGCGTTTGCGCTACTACACTTTCTGATGAAGGTCCTTTCTGGGAGCGGTTTTGTTATTTTCAATTTTTTTTTTGTTTTGCTGAGTTACGTCATGCTAAGCACATCCCGCTTGGGGAGAACTTCTCAAAAATGACCGAACTCTCCTCGCCTTCGCTGGAGATCCTCAACGTAGCCGCGTGGCCTCATCAGGCATCTATAAGAATTACTGAAGACAGCCTGCCCGTGTGTGAATTCTAATCAACAAACTCATCAACTAGCGCTATCTGTATTCCAGCTTCAATGGAATTCGAAGATCGACTGACTTTGGAAGCGAAACGCGACGCGACCGCCCGCGGACTCTGCGGTCCTTTTCACATGCAGCAAAACGCAATGCAAACTTACCAGATACACATCGATACTTTTCACATAACTGATTCGAGGCAGTGATTGGCGCACACCAGTAGAAATCGTTGTCATAGTGAGTACAGTAGTGATGCCTAAATTTGGAGTTAAAACCTGGGATAGTTGAGAGGCTCATAAGCCCTTAGGTTTTGGGATTGCTGTTACTCCTTTCCGTTGGTTAATCTAATAAGAAACGACTTTCTGTTCAATCTTTTTCACAGCCTAATCGAATAAATTTTGTAAGAAAATGAAAAAATTTATCAGCAGCATATTGAAGACATACCTAAAGCGACACGGGCACTGGTTGCCTCGTGATTAATCCAGAACGAGACCCATGGAGAGCATTAACGATCAAACAGCAAAGGTAGATATGTTTGAAAAATAAAATAGCCAACTGAACGTTGCAGTTGGAAAACTAGTGACAGCCGCTGATACGATCCTAAACGGCGCTTTTAAAAAAATTACTAGAATGAATAGAAAATAATAGGCACTGTCAATCAGTGAAAAGCAGCGATAGAGCACCTTGGGGTTATGCCAAAATTTTAGATAAATACGGCCTTCACCGCAGATTGTTCCCTTATGCTACGACCCCCCCCCCTTCACAACAGGGGTTCACTCCACCATCGAGCGGAAAAGGGGTCGAAGTAAGCTGAACAGAACTGGGCACGCCGTTGCGTTGGGATTAGGGACATCATTTCGTTTTTGGGGATTTTAGTCAAGTCCGTACGACCCCCCCCCTGGTCTTTGAAGTTGGTACGTACGACCCCGCAATTCCCCCCCCCCCGCCCCTTCCGGCCCTCTACTCCTCCTCCTATCGAATCATCGAATCGGATGCCGTTGAGCGGGGGAGCGGTGGAATATTATAGTACGATGAAACGAGGAAAATCACGAAAAGTCAACCACCACTCCTAGCACTCCTAGAAAGGCCAGAAAGTAAATACGACCCCCCTCCCAACAATGAGCAAGTACGACCCCCCCCCTTTTACAACGTCCGTGAAGCGAGAAAAATCAACTATCAAAATAAATTTTTCTCAGCCCAAATACGACCCCCCCTCCTGGCGGCCAAATACGACCCCCTGTTGGGGATTCCCCAACAACGATGTGCCCTGGTTGGGATCCCACTGAGGGCCACGGATCGTGTTTGGTGGCTGGAGGGAGGGGAAGGGTCGTATCTCTCTCTGAGGTTCAGCTGTCGACCGTTCTCAATTTTTGTTGTCTCAGGATCATGTGTTTTTTGTTGACTCAGGATCATGTGTCTCACCCATCCCCAATCTCAGAGTTGGCAAAATCTACAAAGATGAGAGGGGATTGGGAAAGGGGGCGTACTAAAGGGGCTAAGTTGTCAGGGCGGATTGGCCAAAGTTTCCCAGTAGTAGGACGCGTCCTGGAAGAAATTATAGAGCGCGTGTGAGATGAAGGAAATTTCACAAGCGAAGTTTCCCTCGCAACGCGGAAACGCTTCTACGACCCCTCTCTCATAGACCACAATACGGCACCCGATGGGATTCCGCCAATGAGGAGCGCCTAAAAAATTCGACCATCACAAAAGTCTGTAGAAGGCAATTACGGTCTCCTTCCAGTGTTCAATGGCCCCCTCCTTAATGTGTTTTTTCACAAGGAGTGCCGTTTCCTAGCCAGAACTCGGAGGTCAAACACAAGGACTTGAGCAGAATCGTTGCACTGGCCTAAAAACAGAGTTAACGCTGGACCAAGGTACACAGACTTCTAGAGCCTGAACCCTGAAAACGATGGCGTGTCACGAGCAGAATGGAAGGCTGCCAAGGGCCCCCATTCCCAACATCGCCATCCTAACTCCGCAACAAATGGCGGGAAAGACTGTTCTGGCTGTTCACACGCCCTATCATTTTCAGGGATCATGACTGTATTTGTTTCGAAGGATTTTGTCGAGTCTACAGCCGCACGATGTGCTACACATGGATGCCCCACCGCAAATTACGATTGTCTTGACACCTGCCAATGCCTGTGAGCGAAAGTATAGATGAGGTTAAATGTGGTGAGTTTCGTGTGACGCTCTTACCTGTAGCTGTGCTGACAACACGATCTTCTGTTTGGTAACCAGTGATGGTGAATTGTGGGACATCAACGTCCTCAACGCCATGAACAGCTTTTGGACGATTCCACAGCATAAGTACTTCTGATGTAGTGTAGCCATCTGTAATCAGACAATTCTGGACATTTCATACGTAACCACAAGCGCCGGCGCTCCACAGTACACATAAGGCTGTAGATTGAATAACCCACATGATTCTATTTCTACCGTACAATTTTGCGAATCCAATGGAAAATTGCGTAGGTTCATCGAGCAGCTAAGCGTTGACGTGAGCCTGGAAGTCAGCTGTTTTGGAAGCGAAAGGAATCAAAGCAATCTATTGATCGATACTCCCGAGAATCACTTCTCTTCTTCTGCCCAGGAATCAAAGGAATCAGGAAATGCAAAGTTCTCTCACCTCATTCCATAGGCGATTTTTCCATCGCCGCTAATCCTCAGCATTTTATTGCGTTCGGTGACTTCATGAAGGAATGAGTGTTTGTCGTTGGCGAGGAATGTATCCGGTACCCAGATATTTCTTAAAATCAGAAAAACTTGATACATCTTCCCTGGCTTTTAGTTAAAAATTAACAGTGATAGTAACGGGTAGATAAAACAAAGCATTTTGCAAGAGTTAGGCTCCCAAGGGCTTGATCCACTGGACATCTGCTCATTACAAACAGGACACTTCCCCAGGTTAGGGAGAATTTTCGTAAAATACGACCCTCAACTGAGGAAAAATCGGATTGGCTGGGAGTGCTGAGTTCTGGCGTAAGGCCAAGCTCGATACCTATACTTTCCTGAAGGGCTAATTCTTTTAAAATGTGGCGGCGGAGCCCTACAGCACTCTACGTCGCCCAGACTCCTACACCTATCAAAGAATTTGTTATGCTGTTTCCACGATCATCACCAAATGGTACCAAAAACCGCTTATGTAAAGGGATAAACGCCGTCGAACTCGAAATTTCCCTACTTATTCACTTATGTAGTAAGACTTACTGAGAGAATTCTCCACTCAAAGTCATTTCATCTATCGGTACTGAACCACCCCACGAGAGCCGTTCGTCAGTCCAATATTGATGTAAATACATGGTGATCGTGTAGTCCTTAACACACGTTTACAGAAATCAATAATCGATTGCATCGATTGGAAAACAGATGGTTACCATGTTGACTTCTGATATCGAGTCGAACGAAGCGATAATGATATCCATAGTGAGAAGTAATGCATCGCCTGTAAATATCCTAGCATTAGCCACTGAGTAATTTCATGGGTATCGGTTAGTAGACTAGTGATTTTATAGATGGGGACGACGACGAGGTGCAGCCAGTGCGGTCACGTTGCCAAGGGTATTTGCGAAAGTATGAGGGACCGCTTGGCAAAACATCACTGTTGCTCAGTGCCATGCCAAAGTGTGTTACTACATGGTATACCATTTATGACATTAATTTAGAAATATCTTTTCGAGGTTTTTTTATAACGAGCACCTCATAACACTATACCATGCTCTAAGCTTACAAATCAATAAGGAGTCATCAACAATACTAAAATCGCTCATCCTTGTCACAATCTGTTGCAAACTCAATCTTTGACCAGGCCACCTCATAGCAAAAATGAACCCTTTTTGTGATCCTTGCATGGACCCCCTACAACAAGCAACAAACCATTTCTGAAAAGCGCGCCACGACCTGAAAGTCCTCCTTTAAGACGAGATACAGCCTGTCATGCCGAGGTTGCGAGAAGAGAGACAACAGTCGAGAATATCGACTCATTTTTTTATCGAACAAGCAACATGATTTTTTCGGGAAACCCTAACAAATACAAACTCCCTCTAGTTCGCCTTAAAAAAGTTTTGTTTGCCCTACTTTGGAAGAGGTCCGCAAGTCTACAAAAACAAACGACGAATAGCCTTACTCATAGGTACAGATCTGATTGCCCCTCTAAACACTTAATCTCGCTCGTTGAACTTCTAGATGTACTTCCGTCAATAGCCGTCATCGTGCAGGCGGCAGAGTACTATGCGGCGCGTGTCGAGCGCGTAGGGAGTGAGAGGACGCATAGTAGCTGGCCCCGCGCCGCCGACAGTTTGCTACTCCTGACGCGGTCGCTGATTCACCCGCGTCCGCGTCCTCCGATTGTTCCTATCAGGCGCGAGGATGACGACTGTACTTCCCACAAGGAGCCTCTTTGCAGGTCGTTGCGTGTTTTTTTAAAAAGGTTTGTTCTTGTCGTAGGGCGGTCCATTGCCAAGCGTTTACCAAAAATGGGTTTCATCTTCTTTTGCTATCCCGTTTCTGGGGGAGGTCAAAAACTGAGTGAAAACAAATCCTGACGCAGAAATCCCGCCGGGTTTTTTCAACCGTCGTTAATGGGCTCTGTTGTAGCTGTAACTTTGACAGTGCATAATTCATGAGGTGTCCCTTCACTATGTATTGAAAAGATAGCAAAGTAAAGCCAATAAGAAAGTGGACGGAGGGGAGTAATACCGAAGTTACTTGAACGATTCTCGCAACCGCTGTTTCGCGGTCGGCGGATGGCGGAGTGGATAGTGCGGTGGGCTCTCGCGAAGAAGGTTCTTGGATCGGATCCCCTTGGCGACTAACTCTTTGCATTTTTCGGATACTTTATACGTTTTCGGTTTTGGATTTACGACACCCATTTTTGACCACGGCGCAGCCTAGCGCCGACTTGCTGCAAGAGCATTCTTCCACTGAATTGTTGCCAACCCGCACGCAGGGGCTGTTAAGCGCTCATCTCGAGGAAAAATTTTTGCTGAAGTCTGTATATAGAGGTTATTAATGGCCCTGATGACGATTCTGACTTTAAAATTTGGCGTCTAGGTCATTGGCGCCAGGCATGGCTCTGAACACCCCCACTCACGCCAGCTGCGGGTTGGGATGCTGCGAGAATCTCTTGAGAAACTACAATGCTGCCTCACTATGTGCCAAATAAAGTACTTTTTTACCTTGAATTGTATTGTTGTTTTTTCGGTGCAATGTCACGAAGGTCTCATCTGCTATGCATACTTAACATTATGAATAGAAAAAGCCTCGGAAAAATGGTTCAAAATCGCTTCCCCAGCAAACTTTGCACTCAGTTTTTGACCTACCCAGAAACGCATAGCAAAAATGAAACCCATTTTTGTGATCCTTATTCGGACCTCTACAACATGCAACAAATCATTTCCGAAAAGCGCGCCACGACCTGAAAGACCTCCCTTGTCAGAACAAACCTCATTTGATGGGTAATTGACCAGAAAATTGTATCAGATTGACGTGTTCACAATAAATAATGAGAGGAACACTAGAGTCCCAGAGGAAATCAAATTTCCTTAAGCTAGGCTAGAGCGTTTGTCAGGACTACGTGCTTTTAAGTGCTTTCGCCTTGATCCACATATGACTTGATGAGTAATGAAAAAAAAACACATTTGACCCCTACAGGATGTTGCATGCATCACTTCATCCTCTTTTTCAGACAGTCAGTAGCAGCACCACTTAATAAGTTCACTGATTGAGAAAAAGGCACTGCTCTATCCAGGAGGTCGGAAGGGGGGGGGATGGTGGGGCGTGGCGGCATTTTGCACTTCCACAGGATAGTTCCTTTTGCTACTTCATGTTAACCAATGGTAAGATGCAGGCTACCGTGCCCTAAAAAAGTAAATCAAAGAAAGTGAATAATTAAGTTTAGGGGGGAGGAATATATAGCACATGTGAAAGAGGAGAAACAGCGAAAAGACAACAATCGGGAAAAATTTTTCCCAACGACGCAAATTTCTGTCAAAAAGCAAATACGACGACTCTCCTCCCCACGGAGAGCAAATACGACCCCCCCCCCTCCTCCTTGCCAGTGCCCGTTATAGCGTCCGAAAAATAACTATCAAAAAAATTTCTCACACCAATTACGACCCCTTGTTGGTGAATTCTCAACAATGATGCGCGCCGAGGGCAGGGCAACGTAACGTGTGAAATGGTGAGGTATGTACGACCTCCCCCTTCCCCATCCTATCTAGCATTTTTCTGAATTTTCCCAACTTCTTAGCACATTCTCCGGTTTACCGAATAAAATTCCCTATTTAACCAAAAAATTGGTGACAAGCCAGGCGGAACAGCGCCACCAATAAAGTACCGATTTCAACTGTCAGGAATAGTAGTTACTTTTGCGATAGCGCCAAACTAGGACGGTTGCAATAACGCAAATGAAACGGGAAAAATCGGGAAAAGTCAACAGCCACAAGAATCGCGTTCGGAGAATTTCCATCAAGGTCAAGTGCGACCACACTACATTGCCAGGCCGAGCACAACCTTCATTTACAAGTATGACCCCCCCCCCCACACTTCTGTGATGGGGTTCTCTCAACGATGGTGTACCCTGCTAACACGTCTGTGTAAACTCTTGCAATGCTGCAAAATGCCACATCACTTTTGTTACAAAAATCGTTAGGTCATCACAAGGTAGCTTGTTCAAAATGTGCCGAATGCTACTTGGTGACCCTCCTAAGACAAGCAGCCCCAGGACTTTTATAGTTTCCAGTTTCAAAAACGTACTTCCTCGACTTCGAAACTTGAGAAGTCGCCTAAGAATACTTACGAAAGGATTCGTCTCCTTATTGTTGCGTGCTGTCCGTGGCGCAGTAAGAAGAGGGTTCAAAAATGAGTGTGTAGGTGCAAGTTGACTTGAACATAAAGAAAAAAAGCCGAGGAAGCTGCTAGGTGAGGCTCTCGTGTTCTGAACACTAGATGAGCCTACCAGCGTACGAACGACTTTTATGAACTTGCGTGCTGCCCGTTACGGACGTAACGATAGCGCACTCGCCAGGGATGTGGGTTGGATCCTGCCTGAGGTCACGTTTTTTGCCGATAAGTCAGCATTCTTCTGATATTTTTCAGCGTAGATTGCCTTCGTCGAGGACTTTTACTGAAGTGAAGCTCTACCGAGCACTCCCAGGGACTACTCGTGTCAGTTTTTCCACCCTCCAGACATCTTCGCTGGACCAGTATTGAAGGCCCGGTAAGCTGAATTCCCGTAGAAGAGCAACTTAAGCTGACTTTTTCCTAGAAGAGCAACTGAGACGTTGTGCTTCTAACTTTTTGTGCCATCCTTTACTCGACTACTTTTTAAGACCATTGCGTTCGTGTTGTTGCTATCAGCCATGAGCTGTAAATCAAAGGACTTATTTAATGGGGTAGAGTGGTTCCAATTCGGCTAACATCGCCACCAGTCAGCTCCTCATCGATCATGGGCGCAATTCCCACAGCTATGAAGAATTTAGCCAGACTTTTGTTTTTTGAAAGCTTCACCAAATCTTGATGAGCCAAGAATAACATCGGTTGTTGCGAGCTATCTTCATCGAGTACAACGTACCAAATCCTTTAATGGGTTAGATCCAAATCAAGAGGCAAGAAAGAGGTCAAAAAGAAGCGGATTTTTGCACTTAGAAGAGGTCCCGGACCAGGTCAAACATACGTCGCGGAATCCGCGACGAGGGCTTCGTATTTGACCCCTCTTGGGAGGGGAACGGTCGTATTTGCAGAGGTCAGTACTCAAAACTGCAGCGACATAGCTTGCAATGGATGATGCGTTCGGGAATGGAGTCGAGTACATGGCGCATTTCATGGAGGCGTTGAACAGCACCTTCGTGCTACAGTTTTTCACCACATGAGGAAAAGATGTATGGAGAGCATATCGAGCTTTTTATGTGGGAATGCGATCTTTGTATAGGAGAAATTCTCAAGCTGCAGCTGAAGCCGACATTCAATAGGAAATCCGCGACGGGCGAATTTTCCCTATAGTTGAGCTGCAGCAAAGACGTTGCACTTCACTGGAAAGAGAAAACATTTTACTTCCCAGTGCCCTGTAGATCGACGTTCTATATCATGTCTGAACAAAGTTATGGCTTTCGAAATCTAAAAAAGCACATGTT